AGGAGGGTGTTCAGGGGCTCCTAAGCTGCCCCTGTTTGTACCCTGTTGCAGCAATGAGAGCAGAATCAGCAGCACCCACTTCTTTGCTTTTCAGGGCAGCGGCTCTTTGTGCTACTGCTTTGAATGCTCTTAGGCAAAGTTCGAGGGTGATGCCCTACCCTTGCTCCCCTCCTCTGCTGTAACTGCTTTCTGAGCTGGGGTTTGTGTGCAGCACCAGGGGGGCTCACCAAATCTAATTGTATCTTCTTTTCTCTCCCTTCCCATGTGCATCGATGGAAGCTTCTTGAAGGTGAGTTGATGTTTTACAGTAGGTAATGGACTTTTATCTAAAATGTGATAGCTAGTTTTGTTGTACTTTCCCAGGAAAGTTGGGCAGCAGGGATTGAAACTGCTCTTAGCAAAAGGCAAGGGACAGGGCTAAAGCCCCTGGCCTGTGTCTTAGAGAACGGATGCAATGTGTGTGTGGTGGCCTCTGTCAGTCACAGTGGGAAATCCCTGCAATAAAAGTTGTAGCTGAATACTTATGCAGAAGGAACTTTAATTTGGTAACGCTTTCTGCAGTTTTGATTGATTAGTGATTGATTAGTGTTACATGGACACTGGAGTTGCAGAGGTCATGGCTGCCTGCGGTTTCTGAGAGTTAAAAAGCATTTCTTGACCCTTTTGCTGTTACAGAGCAGGCCATTAAGAATGGTTCTCCCTGTGACTTGCTCAATATGTTGTCCACAAAAATAGGATTGGTTACTGGGGTGTGACAGGTAAATAATCATACACTTGAGAGAGACATTGGTTGTTCATTTCAGTGTTTCACCAGTCTGGGTGCTCAGTGGTATTTCACAAATCAGACACAGCCACTATCAAAATAACTTCTATTATTTATAGATGTTATCAAACAAAGAAATTAGCATTACAAGTGACATGGTTATCTCCTTAGCTCGTGTTCTGTCTTCTTTTGGTTAATGACTGTCTTTCTTCTCACCTTAATTAGTCCACTCAGTCCATTGCTCAGTCTCCCTCTTCTTTTGGGCTGGGGAGATGTCTTGAGTTGCTGCTCCATGAGTTGGGGGCTGCAATCTCCCCCTGGCAGGAATTATTTTCTACCAGTCAGAGCTGCTTTCAGGAGAGTTGGCTTTCTTAGTTTCTTCCTTATCTTGGGAGTTGTGCCAGATGTCCTTTTGGCCCCTCAATTCTGCATTTTTTGCGTCCACTCTCAGTGGGCGTCCTTCTCCCCAAGCTTTGTTAACCCCTCCCCAAATCTGAGCTCCTTCAAGCATGTCAAGCCCTGAACCTTTCCAAGGCAATTCTACCAACAAGGAGTTTGTTTTTCTGCCACCTGGGCATCACTCAGAGCTTGTTTGTTAGTTGCTGTCTATTTAATGGAATAAATCTCCCTTCCAGGTGATTTGGTTTGATAGTGCAGAATGCTCAAATACAGCAATACAAAGATCATCCTTCCTTAAGAAATCTTTCACATATGTTTTGATTTTGTATCTGATATAACTTATGAAACTTACAGATTATCAACAGCAAAGGAGAAGGGCCACCCTGAACAGACATGAACAGGTGGATGGCTCTGGTAATGGAACAGGAGCTAATGGTGCATCTGTGCCTGACTCGGCCCCTGCAGAACAGGGAGCAGCAGAGGAGGGAGCTGCACTTTCAGAGTATGTATGGCTCACGCCCTAACAAACATGAAATTTTGTGCCCTTTTTTTTGTTTTCTGTATAGGACTAAGTTACACAGGTATGCCTGGTTTATCTTTGAGGCCTTCCCATACTCTATGTATTTCCCTCCTTCTCCCATGTTGCATGATGATCACATGATGCCATTTGCATTTGGGGAGAAAAAGGCAGCCCAAGGCAGATGTACAACTTTGCACAGAACCTTAGAGATGAGTGTGAGGGTATGGCAAAGAATGGGGATTACTTGCATCAAAGCCCAGAGCAAGGTGACTGACTGCACTTTTCTCCTAGTGAAAACCGGGACACCCTTTCCCTCAGAGCAGGGAGACCCCCCCATATGCTCATTAAATGCAGCAGAGACTTAAAGACAGCAGGGTTCTTCAAAGGAAATGTATCATGGCTAATCCGTGCAGTTGTATGAAGATGTGAGATTTTATGGATCAATAAATGTTGAAGTGTGTTGATCTTTACAGCTGCATGTGCTCTCTGGTTCTGTTTCCTCTAGTGCACAGCAAGGAGGTGTCATTAAGTGTCCAATTTGCATGGATTCTTACTCAGAGGTAAGGATCCACCTATTGTGATCCTTTCTGCTGGGTGGGAGGAGAAAGCAAGAAGGGGAGTTGCACAAGACTGGGATACTGTGGGGATGTGGGATGCTGTGGGCAGCTGGCTGGAAGCACAGCCCTTGCTGTGAAGCTCCATGAGTCACTTCTTGGTGAAGTGACACTGGCCGATCTGAGAGTCTCTTGTTATTTTGATTCCAGATGCTCAAAGTCTCATTTGCCTGGTGCAAGTTGAGCAGCAAACTGGAATTCTTTCCTCCTAATACATGTTGTGATTTTCATTCTTCCAGATGATGCAAAGTGGACGACTGATTCTGGCAACCCTGTGTGGCCATGTCTTCTGCAGCGAGTG